AAGATTTTTTTTATATATTTATATTATTTAGTACAAAAGGCATCTAAATATAAACAAAGGTGTTCTTTTAATTTTACCGGAGCCTTCAGAAATGAACTTTTTTTTCTTTTTTCCTACCTTTTTGCTGGTAGCCTAAGGGGCTATTCCAGCTATGCCCGGACGGGGTAGGTGAGCTGACGGGCTCAACCTGAGGGAATTTGCTAACACTAGCCCTAGCAAGAGCAGTGCTTTGCAGAGTCTACCACCGGATCGGAATCGCGACCCACTGAGAAGATCCGGCGAGAAACTCAGTAGGCTGTGTCTATAGGTTAGTTCGCTCGTCGAACTCTTCGTCATAATCGACGAGTTCGACGAACAAGTGTCTATAAGCACCGAGAGTGAATCCGGGGAACCGACAAGATATTATGTTTCGGGCGACGATGACTTTGCGTTGCCCCATCGCGGTCGTATAAGGGAATCGAACCTCAAGATGTAATAGCCGCTGCCTTTTCCTTGAAACACGAAATTGAATTCTCAATTTTCTTGTAACTTTTACGAATATATCATATTTTTAACTACCCAAAACCATATCAATCTAAAACCATATCTTATGTATGAAAGTAAGTAATATTATGAATCAACTAGCCGCATGTACTCACCTACTTCGCTGGGCATTTAAAATTAACATTATTATGTATTGTCATTATTATTAGGGAGGCCAAGACTCACCATAAATATTAGCCTATCCATTAAGTACATGTATTTTCTACATGGATACCAAGTTTCAAGTCAATCGGATGCATGGTTCAGTAGTCATAACGGAACATCCGTAAAAACCACTGTAGATTTGTATATTAGTATAGATATGTCATTCTAAACAAATATTTATTATATCTAAAAAGATACATAAGTCTGTGTGCTAATTATTATTGTCTAAGCAAAATTCATTAAACATTAACCGAAAACGTGGTCTGCAGATGTTTAGATTACGTAATTCTAAAACTATATAGTGGGTTTTTTAATAGTTAAGCTGGGCATTCGAGGAGAACTCAGAGCTCATGTGATTTTTAGCGGATTTAGGACCTTATTGCCTTCGCAATTTTAATGTCGTTGCTCAACTTGAAACTCGATGTCGAAATCTCATAATATGTATAGTATAACGGGTATACCACACTTTAAGCCTTTAACCCATTCTCACGGATCGCTTGGAACCTCTAGGTCTGCGGAAGGACTTTATTTCTCTCTATATTTTGTACAATTTGTTCCATGGGAAGTGCTCTGAGGAATTGTTTGAGATGATCCTATCATCTCGTTTTTACTACATCTCGAGTTCACCCATACTACCTATAGCCACTGCGTCCATCCAAATCCGACGTTGTAATGAGCTCCCCTCCACGATATTTCCCGAGCGCAATGACATGTCTTTCTTCAGACAAGGCTTGTGGAAAGTACTTAACGGTAGGCAGCGGCTTGGCTCTTCCCCTGGCATTTCTGACGTCCATGCGCGGCGGTAGCCGTTCACCATCAGGTGGGCCATATGCTCGTCTGCAAGGGCACAGGGGCAATGGCAATACAAGGGCAATAAAAAAAAGCTACAAAGCATAAATACTCCGAATATATGACAGCGGGATACTCACGCGGGTTCGAAATCTAAAAACGCCTATATCATATTGATACACACGTTAGCTTTTTATGTTTGAGAAATTACTGGTGGCCCGGAGGCCTTTTCAGTTTCACTAGAACAAGTGGGCAAGCAAAGGCTCTGCCAAGAGGGGTGGGATTTGCTAACAGTTGCCCGAGCGCCTCTAAGAAGACCTAACAACTCAAGAGCAGCTGCTTCGTGAATGAATCTACTACCGAATAGGAAACTCAGAGGGCTGATGCATGGGTTAGCTTGCACGTCGAACTCTTTGCCGAAATCGAGGAGTAACGTTAGCTACTAACGAACTAACATAGGAAACCAACTCAATAGATCTATCAAAAGATTCTAAACCGCGCAGTTTTAGCTATTCCTCTTTTAATGATTTCATTAAACACAATCTCCGTTCTCGAGAAAATTAAAACAAAAGATTAAAGTGTTAACGTCAACAGAGGTCCTTGAACCCGATTATCAGCACCCGAAAATACTTCCGTCCTATCTATATTTAGGAACATTATCAAAAGATACAGTTTTATGTATGTAGGTCTTAATTCGATAAAATTCTCGGGAATTCATTCTCACGTGATTAGCAGATGCATCTTTATCGCTGCGTTCTGGTCGGGCTGAATTCGATTACAAACAAAAATTAACCGCCTTGCTTAGCTCTTAAGGAATATAATAGGAAATCAGTAGTTAATGAAAATGCATTTTCAACTGTTTGTCTTGTCGATTCGAAGAAACGTTTACTTTGCAATTGTCCGGTGCTTATTCGTCCACGGTATCTAACAGGAGTCTTAATAGGCGCCTGCTTTAAAACCTAGGTATTTAAAGTTGATTTTAAAGTTTCTAGACGCAAACCAGATTTTAATTCGATCTAAGTGGATAGAGCTGTAAGTTGAGCCGCGTCGTCTCACCCCTTTTAACAGCCGCCGCGCATTTTCCACTCACTAATTACTGCTGTACCTGTTGCTAAACTGCCACAACTCAGGAAATCACAAAATTTTCGTTGTTTTCTTCTTCGGATTACATGTGAGAATACTCGGGGTATTAAGTTGTTGAACTGAATTGAACATACAAGAAAAGACTATTGTGTATTTAAAATAAATAAATAAAACATATTTCCCGTACATATTGACAATACGGCACATTTACGTAAGTCTCATTAGGAAGGCCCAAATTTATTTGTGATGAGATTTTGTGTAGCGGATATCATGAACACAACTTATTATATTAACTTAACTTAACAACACGTCAATATTTTACCGAAATAGGTAATATATGAGAGAAGAGCATAGGTGCATGAATGGAAAAAGAGGATATTTTGCATCGACGACACATGAAGTCAGATAAGGACCAAAAGACGAATAAGGAATAAACATTTTACAGTATAAACAGAGACATGCAAAGCTACATTTAAAAACGATCAAACTTAGTTTCCTTTTAACAACAGAGTAAGCAAATGTTATTTCAACCTTCACAGAAATACGTCCTCGATTCAATGAATAATCTACAACAAAAAGGATTGTATTACACGCCACCTTAATCAAATTAATAGTTCGGATAATTCGTGATATTATCACGGTATGGTCCCCGAGGTACGAGCCTCCTTGTATAAAACGCGACAATTCGAATTATTGTAGTTGTGCTGTTCTCCCTGAGGGTGTAGTCACACGCGACTGCCATTCAGCTCTCAGCACCAGTTGCTGTGGCAGTTTGGATGTGTCCACCGGTCCTGACACACCATGGACGCTAAGGTATTCCTAACTAGTTAATAAAGTGATAAGTTAATAGGCAAAAACTTAATGGGACTTGTATTGAATTTTGAAATCGTAATCAGCTTCCTGTTCTTTTAAGCCAATCTACTACTATTTTCATTGATAGCCGAAATTCTAATGCACAGATTATCGGAATACAATTTTATACATTGTTTTAATGTTCAATTTAATGACAATTCATCGGAGGGATGTTCGCGTGGCTTAATGAAAAAATAAAAAATAAACGATGCAATACAACAATTTTACGTTTTTATATAATACATCACAGACGTCCTTAAAATTATTATTCAATGCTGTTTAAGTATTTCAAAGGCACCCTTTTATTGATGAATTTAGTCGAAGATAAAATAATTTCGGGTAAACGTTATCTTTACTAAGACACGCTATTTTTTACAGTTTTTAAAGACAGCAAACACGGAAGTAAACGCTGTGAATAATAATAATAATCCTAATAATAATACAAAGTTAGTATTCCATGAACAAATATATATGACGATATTTTTTTTATTGCCTAGATGTGTGGGCGAGCTCACAGCCCACCTGGTGTTAAGTGGTTACTGGAACCCATAGACATCTACAACGCAAATGCGCCACACACCTTGAGATAGAAGTTCTAAGGTCTCAGTATAGTTACAACGGCTGCCCCACCCTTCAAACCGAAACGCATTACTGCTTCACGGCAGAAATAGGCGGGGCGGTGGTACCTACCCGTGCGGACTCACAAGAGGTCCTACCACCAGTAAGAACAACGATTGTATTGTCATTTGGGCATTAATAAACTAACAGTATTTAAACCGACAAAACTAAAAGGTACCGTATACCTTAGTGTGTTCTTTTTCTTAAGTTTCACTGACTGCTGTTGATTAAGCCGTATTGATGGTTTCTGAATAAAATTTATTTAGTTGCTACGTAAATATCAACTTTGTTTCACTTAATCCTTAAGAAGATTTTCCATTACAGAGCAAAGAGCGTGGTATTCTGAAGCTGGAGCCTCGACCGAAACTCTCAGGCGAAGCCAAAATGGAGTTGTCACCAATGGTAATTCCAATACATTATTTTTTCATAGTACAAATTGCGTATTTAATTGAGTTAACAATAAACATGTAAGAGTATGATTCTCAACTAATATTTCAATTAACAATAACAATCTGGCCTGCCCGATAATTCAGGACTTTTAACAAACAAATTTAGGCTACGATCTTTCTTCACTCTTCTATCTTCTATCTACTATCTTTAATCACTTACAGCTTTTATTTATTTTAATTGATGTTATTTAACTGGTAATTTTAATAATATATCAATGATTCTATGTACAGTTATGGACTGGCTTTTGAAATGGACGTTTTTAATTAATGAATAATAAGAGAGATGCCGTGTCTGGATCTCGTAACGTGAGCATTGGCGGGAAGATATGCTCAACAAACATATTAATAACCACAAGCCCACTGAGGTTCTCGCCGGATCTTCTCAGTGGGTCGCGATTACAATCCGGTGGTAGGTTCAGCGAAGCACTGCTCTTGCTGGGGCTAGTTTTAGCAAATTCTCTGAGGTTGACCCTTTTTTTTTTTTTTTTTTCAACCTGTGAGCTCACCTACCGCTTGGATGGAATGCCCCCTAAACTGCCGGCGAACAGGTATGGAAAATAAAATAATTCATCGACAATCAGCCGACAAGAGTGAACTTCTTCTTTATTCTCCACCTTATCCCTCCAGGTGGGGTCGGCACGGCTATTTTTTCTCTTCCGTTCTCTTCTATCAGCCGTCATCTCAACACCCACTCCTCGCTCCCTCATATCGTCATTCACACGAATGAACGACTTATAAATACTTAATACATATATGATCCAAGACTGTATGTATCTTGATACTCTTTGACTGGAGTTTTCATTCCTTTTTCACAAAAATGTAGTTTTGTGGCTCCTTGATAAGACACGCCCCACCAAACCATCACTGACGCAGGATGATGACCACGTTGTACTTTTCCGACCACTTGATCAACATCTTTAGAACTGTGAGCGTACACTTTATCATTTTGCTTATTGTAGTGTTCTTCAATCGTGAACATTTTTTCATCGGTAAAGTGGATATTTCTGTGCCTTTCACCTGCGTATCGCGACAGAAGGCGTTTTGATCGATCCACTCTTTTTAATTGTAAAGATTGATTTAGGCCATGTTCTGTATATCGACGATAAGCACCGAGCTTCGGGTCTTGTTTTATAAAACGCGACAGAGTTCTAGCAGAAATCTTCGTTTCTCGCGATAAGATTTTTTACTTCCTGATGGGGTTTCGACGAATTCTGGCTTTATCAGCATTAACAGTCTTTGTAGTTCTAACATACGGCTGATACTAAGCCTTTGAAGTGTCTGAAATATGACCAACGGCTCCATAGCCACTTTGTGCAAGGCGGTCACTGCAATCCTATTTTCTTTAACTCCCCATTTCATATTGTAATTTGATAATGAACACCAAAAATATGTGAAACGTCGCAAAATCGAAAGAAGTTTTTAAAATAATATACGTTTTCCAAATTCAAAATATAAAAGATGAAAAAAAATTTTTTTTTTATATAATATATAATATATATATATAATATATAAAATATAATTTTTATATAATATAATTTTTTTTTTATATATATTTATGGCCAGACTAATTATTTACGTAATATATGTATTTTGAGGCAATAACATTGAAAGAATAAAGAAATAAGACTAAAGAAGGATAAGAAAAAAGTTGTGACCTCGACATAAGACACGTTCAGCTTATTGTATCTGCTAGCTCTTTTAAGCTTACAACACGTGAGCGTCTATCAACGCTAATGAGAATTGAAGATACATACGTCATCTCACTACCTAAAATTACCGATACACAATTACCGAATCGCTTAAGCAAACACTGTGTTTTCGGGGCTTGTGTTATTTTTTTAAATCATAATGCATTAATTACGAGCCAATAGGCGCGGCGGGGTGCCGCTAATTGACGAAATGTAACACTAGCTTTACGTAACCTGAAAATTGAATGGCCTTTAGCAATGGGAACGTACAGAATCATATTTTATTAGATACATATCGACGCTTGAAAGACAACCGTGACTAAGCGACAATAACTGCTTTGTATATAAATGATAGGCAATAACCATATTCGATGCGCAAAAAATATATATTTCTAGGTCTATTAAATTAATTTCAATCCTACAGCTAGATTCGTTAAAATAGAATTTTTTTCGGGTATTTCAACTTTAATTTATTCTACTGTAAAGTTCACGCATTGCCGCTTAGTCACGTTTGCCTTTCAAGCGTCGATATACATTTTCCTTGATCTAGATCGGTACAAGTAAAACGTACAGAGCAAACAAAAAAATATACATATGACGGCGTTAACAATATTTCTAATAAACATCACGTGCAACAGGCGTGACTCACACAAGCCGGGTGCGCCGGCCGTGTCGTTCCACTCGTGCAACAGAAGTGACTCATAAGCCAGCTGCGCCGGCTAGTATAAAAAGGCGGTGCGTGCCTTGTGAAAAAACATTCGTTGGACTGCGCTTGCCTGGTGCACTTACTATATCCTTGTTACGTTGTGTGATTCAGTGACTGTTGTACGTACTGGTTAAAGTTGGACAAGTGTTAAAGTGAATTGTTAAGATAACATATTGTTGATTAAATCAGGAATCAAAAAGTGACATCGTTTTACTTGGTGTTCAACAAGATAATGTCTACCCTCAAGCTTACATCAGAAGTGAGATCAGGACTCTACTCTCACTGGCGTGACGTGTTTGAACATGTTCGAAGTACAGCAAAAAAAACATGATGCAGATCAGAATACTAGTAGTGGTACGCCACAAGAGCGTGAATGCAGCATACGTAAGTCGTGTAATAACGTCTCTGTTACCTCGATGGAAGATCTGAGCCACGAAGAAATCGTCACATCTTACGTTCTGGCTCATGTTGCCCAGTTTGACTGTCGACTTCATCACATGGCATTTACTAACGGAAATACAACACGTAACAAGCTATTGCAAGAAATTAAGGCAAGTGCAAATCTCAAGTGAAACTTCGATCGCAATAATGGATCTGTCATGACGAGTGGGTAGTTCCGACACGAATCGTTTTTAAGCCAATGACTACTGCTAGAGTTACATGGCACTAGTACAGTAAACCAGGACATGAGACTGTGAATTGTCGCTGAAATTTTAGAATCTACTCGATTCAATACCAATAACACTACACGTTCGATGACTTCGGGCTCCAGCAAGCAAGCAAACAAGAAAGCAAGCAAGTTTCCGTGGGGAAGAAAAATTGACACATCTGAAGTCGTCGTGACCTGTAAGATAAGACGTCCGGTGCGTTCGTGTCTGGCGATGCGGCGGTGTTCGGGTTCCGCTGGCGGATGCAGGTTTTTCCGGTGAAGTGCGTGCTTGTGCGTGCTTGACAAGTGTTCGCGGTTGGCTTCCTCAGTGTGGGAGTAACATCGTGTAAGAGAGGTGGAACCCGTAAAATTGTAGTTTGCGTGGTGGCTGGTAAGATTTGTTGCGGTAAGAAGTTTGCATGGTGGTAAAATGTCTTGTGAGTCTGCACAGGTAGCCGGAGGTGAGACTTCCGCGGTCGCGGCCCACCCAGTCCGCGAGAACCGGGCAGATCGCCTCGACGGTACGGAGGCCGGCCGACGGGTCCGCCAAACGACGAGACCACGCCTCCAGCACGGACTGCCGATATTGGAGCCCCCGCGCTCCGGCTGCACTTGCGCTAGGGCGCGCCGCCTCGTAGGAGACTGTGAGGTATCATTGAATAACTCTGACTGCGATCGCGCGCTGCCGGCGTCGCAGCGCGGCGACGTTCTCGTGGGTAAGGACGTGGCACCAGACGGGTGCTCCGTATAGTGCCATCGACCGCACGGGTACCATCACCCTGCCTATTTCTGCCGTGAAGCAGTGGTGTATTTCGGTTTGAAGGGTGGGGCAGCGGTTGTAACTATACTGAGACCTTAGAACTTCTATCTCAAGGTGTGTGGTGCGTTTACGCTGTGGATGTCTATGGGTTCCAGTAACCACTTAACACAAGGTGGGCTGTGAGCTCGTCCACACATTAATACGAAGAGCATAATCAAACGAAATTAGATACGAAGTTTAAAGGGCCGTTTAAAGTAGTTGAAGTATTGGATGGTGTCGATTTAATTTTGACTCTCACACATTCGCTTAAGGCTCGAGCTGCTACTTGCCTCACAAAAATACAGCCTGCAAAACCTGAACAACCTCCTCATCCGTGGGCGCCCGGCTCTCGCCTGCAAGTCGGCTGTTACGTGTGCGGTGATGCGAGCCATGTAGCTTCTGGGTGTTCCATGCGCTACAAGAAGAAAAACGACACTGCTCCAGGTGCTGTGGCAGGTCCAACCAGAGACGTCAACGTGTGTTCCAGAGCTTCAGTGTGTTACAGATAAGTGGTTTTGGCTTCCCCTTTATGTTCCATTCAGGGTCAGAATGTAGTCTTATAAAACAAAGTCATAGTAATTTATTCAATGGTAAGCGGTTTCATGAACAAGTCACTCTTTGATCTGAAAGTAACTTAGACCAATCATGATGGCAAGAGCACTTAGGGGATATTCAACTCGCCCTTAATAGTGCACGTTGTCGAGTAACAGGGTTTACTCCAATAGAATAGACGTTTGCCGTTCAGGGTAGTTCACTTGAAATATCTAAAGTTTCAACAGAGTGATAATCCCTCTAGATTAGATCTTGATTTAGCACGGTCGAAGACCGGCGAAAACATAAAAAAAGGGCACAAACAGAAGCTTGGTTTAGTCGAGGCAAAGCTAAAGTCAAACTCTTTTCCGCTGGGGATTTTGTTTTCGTAAGTTGACCGAAAATGTAAAGGTCCCTTCAACATTACTGCAGTTTTGGAAAACGATAGGTATAAATTGAGACATGTAAATAGTTCTAATAGAGTGTACAAATTTCCCCATGAAAACTTACGTGAAATACCTCGAGGCCCGTCAGGCCTACTAGAAATTTCTGAAAATTATAGTGACGATGACGTGACGGCGTACACAGATGGGTTAATTAATCTTGTTCATGAAACTGATCTTAATGATGACGACTCTATCACTGACAATAGAAGCGACATTTTTGTCCGCAAATAGCGATACAGCAAACATAGTCTGTGGGTAGTGATACAATGTCTGTAAGCTCAGGCACCTCAGGTGCAGGTGTTGGAAATGTAGAAAACGATGGTCGGTCTCGCACTATTTCTGAAGAAATTCCGTATAAATGTTCTGGTTTAAGAAATGTTTTAACAAACGCTACCGTACACGCAGATTAAAAAAAAAAAAAAAAAAAAAAAAGAGAATTGTATGTGGCTAGAGAGATGTTAATCCGGACTAGCAAAAAAAAAAAAGAGGAAAAAAAAAAAGAAAGTGTGAAGTCATTGAAGGGTCTGTCCGGTCCAATGGCTTGGCTATAGGGATTTTCATCCAGATTAGCCACAACAATTAGCTACAGGGATTGCGATTCGGTCTAGCATTATCCGGTCCAGTTCGAAAAACTGAAGGGATAACAATTCCGGTCTAAGTTAAAAGGGACATACTTACATACCTGAAGAGTTTTAAATGAACTGGCCCAGGTATGTAAGCAGTCTGAAGGTTATTTATAGCCAGTATAGGATTTTCTGAAGAATTATGCGAACCGAACCGTACTAGATTGTTAATATCATAGACCACGTTTTAAGTTGCATCCGTTAATGTCAGGATGAACGAACACGTTTGTTGTTCACAGACATACCATAAGAATGCGCGCACGAGGACGAGCGCACGTCAGTATGGCCGTGACGGCGTTAACGATATTTATGTTATATAGCACGTGCAATAGGAGTGACTCACACAAGCCAGGCGCGCCGGCCGTGTCGTTCCACTCGTAAACAACAGCTGCAACAGAAGTGACTCATAAGCCAGCTGCGCCGGCTAGTATAAAAAGGCGGAACGTGCCTTGAAATGAACATTCGTTGGACTGCGCTTGCCTGGTGCACTTACTATATCCTTGTTACGTTGTGTGATTCAGTGACTGTTGTACGTACTGGTTAAAGTTGGACAAGTGTTAAAGTGAATTGTTAAGATAACATATTGTTGATTAAATCAGGAACCAAGAAGTGACATCGTTTTACTTGGTGTTCAACAAGATAATGTCTACCCTCAAGCTTACACATACATATATTATGAAGATAAATAATTTTAATTTGCATTACTCTCAAAGAGAAATTGCAATGGGAAATATGTATAATACGTAAATGAATTAAAGACTTTCTATCTATTGTGGATGTGAAATAATATTATCTTTTTTTTTACAAATTTCAAAATTGTCAAACATAATTACTTTGTAGTTATGAACTCGTTAAATTCTAATCATTATATGTATTACTTATATTACTTTCTTTTTTTTTTTTTTTAAAACATTTCTGTTTATAGTAAGTATCTGAAATGTCGCGGAAAAAAAACGAGATTTATTTAAAATTGATTATGGACGAATATTATAGAAAAGTCAGTAGGTAAGTAGTTAGATACCCTAGCCGAAAGCCGAATCATAGACGAAAGGCAAACTTCAACTTCTAAACTAGGCCAACTCTCCTTCTGAAGCCAGGCTCGCCTCACAGTTGATAGTCACCCCGTTAGTTAGCTCAGACAAATTCTGACATTCAAATTAGATTAATATAGGATTTTGAAAGTTTTAAATAATTTGTTTAATCTATCGGGTCGATATGCGCGCTTATTATTAACCAATCTCATTACCAACAATTCAGTTACATATAAGTGAAAATCTGTCATATGATCTCTAGTTTACGAATATGTACCTATATATTAAGTATTTATTGCTACAGATCTGCCAAATTCATAAATATACGAAAATAATAGACGAACATATAAGGCCCGCTTGATAATGAGTGTTCGCTATTGTTAATGGACATTAGGAATGCCATAGGCAAAGCCAAACGTCTTCACACCGAAGCTTGCAAAAGGCTTGGTGAAACATAAATAATTGTAATCGATCGTATTTAATGATGCCATTTAAGGAATCAGTAACACAACAGTAAAAACAACAAATTTTGTTTTCAGAAAAAAGTTATGTTTTTAAAGTTGGCAAGCCGCAAACCTTTTTTTAATTAAAATAAATAACGTTTACTTAAACGTTAAATAACTTTATTTAAAACAAGATAAATTTGTAGAAATCTGTCGTTAATTACAATGCTGCAACCTAACGCTGGGGGTGGAGTGCTAATCACGAAATGACTGGATAGGGATGTCGCACGCACCAAATAAAAATTTAAATCCACTGAATTTATTTTACATTTATTACGCTATAAAAGTATTAACATTATAAAGAAACGAAACCTATTACGTACATTTATTTTCATTTGGGGCAAAGTTTATTTAAAAAAATATAATGATTTTCCTGGCTTTTCTATTTAGGATGGGCATTGAACAGTTGTTCATGTTTTGTCCTGATTTTCCTCAGTAATTTTATCAGGAAATCTATCCATGGCTCGTTTCGGTGAAATAAAACACGAAAATATATGTCGGTGGTTGGGTTCAACATATCAGAACGAATTCTGAGAATTTAACCTGGCGGGTGCTCGGAATCACTTTGATAATTTCAGCAGGCACTCTCATACAAAATAAATAAATAATAATAGTAAAAATCCGCTGAATGTAGGCTGCGCAAGACCGGTTATCGTGACGGTGGTCACTGTCTTCGTCGAACCCATCGCTTGCGACGAAGGGCTCGACGAGTGAAGTAACCCACAGACACAGCCCACTGAGTTTCTCACCGGATCTTCTCAATAGGTTGCGTTCCGATCCGGTGGTAAATTCTGCGAAGGAAATTCATTTGACCAATGCTTGAGGTACCTAAAAGCACCATTAATGGATCGGGAGGAACCGAAATGACTTGCTTAGGGCGACATCGACTGTTTGCCATTCGGTCCACAGGGTCAGGTATGAAAACGCATTAAAATCCTATCCTATTGTCCTCACCAATTAAGTGAGTGAATAGAAATTTTAGGAAATACCTATAGCGCTAGACAGCGACTTAGCTGTGCTTCTAACATGGCTGACGTCCATGAGCGACGGTAACCAATTACCATTAAATAAGTCTTATATTCGTCCCGTTTATTGGGAAGACAATATTTTTCTTTCGTTTTTAAAATTTCATTAATAACATTATATTTTTAACTTTTCGTTTTTAAAAGTTTTAATGTTCTATAATTATTTTTCTCACTGTCAACCCTGTCTGTTCCTTCAAGTTAATCAGCGTCGCAGTCACTGAATCTCTATGTCGATGACGTCTTGTCACGACATTCTACTGCTATTGAAGATTCTAATTTAATTTTCAAATCAAAAACAACACGTTTCAACATGGGGCCGTCCATTTTACGCCCTCATTCATGTTGTCGTGTACAAACCTATTACGAGTAATATCAAGTAAGGTACCTTTCTATCTGGACGAAGAAAATTTAAGCTGGCTGAAGAAAATTATTAAATTAATAATTTATGTACCTATCATACTTGGTACTAGAACGATTTATAAGCTCGCATGGAAGGATACCACTATCCCTGCTTGATACTGATTCCATTGCGAAGTAGTTACGTGTTCCGAATTAAAGAATAGCCGTTATATAATTATTCAATGGCGGTGATATTTCATAACATGCTGTTAGCTTAGGTTTCCGGTAACTAGTTACCAAAAGAAGTTCCGTGGGCTCATTCACTCATCTACGATACAATACAGTGTTTTATAGAGGCGGTCCCATCCTTCAAATCTCAATGCATGATTCTTATTATTGCCTTTTTAATTTTTGCTGGCGGTAGGACGTCTTGTGAGTCCGCACGGGTAGGCACCACCACTCTGCTTGTTTCGTTAATACGTTTCAGTTTGAAGGGTGGGGTAGCCGTTGTAACTATACTGAGACCTTAGAACTCATATCTCAAGGTTGATGACGCCATTTACGTTATAGATGTCTATGGGCTCCGGTAATCATTTAACAACAGGTGGGCTGTGAGCTCGTCCACCCATCTAAGCAATAAAAAAAGTAAAAAAAAAATTATTATCTACATGACATTGCCTTTAGGGATTATTCTAGCTTCGCATTGATAAGTGAGCTCCTGGAGCTCAGCTTAAAGAAGTTGCTAACCAGTCCATACCAATCCCATTAAATTCTAAATTTTATACAAACATTAATTAGCGCTAGTAACTAAGAGTAGCATTGTCTACGACAATGTTTAAAATTTCCCATTCGAATCACAGCAACATAACAAAATATTACGCATTTAATGAAAATAATCAAAGAATTACACGAAATAGCTTTTATTGGCACGAGTCAGGACAAAGATTAACGTTTCGCGTGAATAAGTCTATTATATCATTAGGTAATATGAATTACAGAAGCGCACGCAGACAGCTAATTTGACTGTCTCTAAAAAAAATACAGAGACACGTTTCGTTTCTTTTTTTTATATTGGAATTTTTTTTAACAATGTGTTAAATACTGTACTATGTAATGTAAATACTATATATCTGTTATATCAAGTAAGATAGATACTGTATCTTGAGATGCCGGCTAAAGGCAATTTTGTGGTTTTTGTCATTTCAGTTATCATCCCATTTTCGTCAGGAAGAACTATTTAAGAAAAAAGTTTGCGTTCTTAAATATTAGTAGTGTACATGGTATGAATTTTAGTTTTCAAAAATCATAAAATTAAATTAATATTTAGATAGACAATTTGAATAAATCAATTTTGATAAGACAATCACAAAAGATAACTAGATTCTGAGACATTAAAAAAAAGTTGAAAACATTATACCTAAACTGGCTACGATAAAGTAAATATAAATACATTATTTTAAAAGAAAAAATTATGTATCCTTCGTACTGCCTCAACATATTCAGTTGATCTGATATGGGACCCTGGACCAATAAAAAAATAAGTCAAAATGAACATTGAAACTTTTTTCAAACTAACATAGTGGCCACAGATTAAAAATCAGTATAGAAAGAAAACCTGCTTTGAAAAATTAACTTTTTTATCTGAGCCTTAAAATCAAATTATGTTTTTAAAAATAAAACTGTCCATTTCAATCAATTTCGACCGCGTCTGTACGAAAGTTGAAGTTATTTCTTACCGCACCTCCCAATAACAAGCCGCCCTGTATATTAATTTACGATCCTAAGGCTCACCTCATAATAACTGCTATAAAAACATATTTTTTATCGTAGCCCGGAATATGAAACATATTTATAACTAGGCTATTTAGTTCGAAATGTCATAAAACAATTATGTTGTAAAAGTACAATGATAATTAGGAATTCTTAATTCAAATGTGACAGTTGTAATAGATTATTTTTTTCTTTTGATGACGGGATGCAATGCGTGACAAAAATCAGTTTGTATTAAGTTCAGTTCGCAAAGCACCTGATCGGTGTCGTAAATCGCTTAATTTATTGGGTGGTGTGCGGCGAGCCTTGTTTGACTTCAGTCGATACTTGATAAGCCACAGCACAGTCTGATTGCTGTTCCCCCGATCACAGGACGGACAGGATCGGTCAGTGCTCACGAAAATATATTATATTTTTTACATAGAAAAAAAATCTTAGAATATTAGTTGATAGTTTCAAATAATAATAAAAAAATAGTTTTCTCCGAAAAAGAAATTCTTAAAATTCTTATTCTTCGAATTGTTATGCAGTCATGAACAATTTCAATTTCCACGGAGGTATCGTATCAAAAAATTCCCTTGGCTCCAATTACTAATTTTCCATTCAAGGAATCCATCCAATCCGATTAAAGTGTTAATTCGTAGCATTCGTAATCATATAAATTGCTAGTTTTGGTGCTTATTTAGGAAATGGAAACACGCAATATAAAAACGTACAGTGGTAATTAAAATCTGACATCAAAAATAAATGGAAATAATTACGGTCCTTTGAAAATTTCTTTAAGTAATGAAAGTTAAATTGAACAAACAAAAACATTAGTGTATTATTCGCCGCGGGGTGTCTTGTGCCATCATTATTATTAATTTGACCTACTAGAAAAGTATAGAAAAAACCCATGTGTTTCAGAAATGTTACGTCAAAGACTCAAATACCCAAACGAGACGATTAATTTTAAATTTTAAATTATTAAAACAAGGCCCGGTAATGTAATAAATTAAATAAGAATTTATTTCAATCGGATAGAAACTGTACAGGTTATTGATGTCTTTACTCTGTTTTTATTTATTTATTTAATAACGACTCATACAGATCGTCTACTTAATTTTATGGTTCTAATCATTTTTCTGTGAGAAGATAGCAAGGATCTTAACAATCTTTCTTACTAATTACTTCACTTTATTAATTTTTGTCCAGAAAAATCCAACAAAGGTTTAAATAAATAAATACATAATGATAATAATATTTTTTTAATACATATTATATTTTATAGAATGAACTAGATAGAATAGATTACATGTATAGAACAATTATCAGGTAAAAAACGCAATAACTATATTTAGTTATGTAAGTTGTAATAATTGTTTACATTCTACGGATTACTTTTTAGGTTTCGTCTGATCATCCTCCGACCTCGCCGCAGCCTTCAATAGACCGGTTATCGGTGACGTGGGCGGACCCTGGTAACATGACATCCTCGGGAGTTAACCTATTCCATCTGCCCTCAGAGACACCCATCACTGAGGTTAGGTTTTCGCCAACAGGTGGAGGTGAGTATAATGAGTTATCAAATGACGTTTGCAAATCATGCCTTATATATTTTTAGTCCTTATTCAGTATAGAGTGTTTCAAAAAGTCTTGTTAGTCTGACTCCTTGCTATATGAGCCTTGATGTTTAAGCAGTTGTTTTGATGGTTTAAATAAAGAAAATAAATATTACCACTACATTGAAGACTATAAAATGGTTACTGTTTTTTTTTTTAATTTCATCCTCCCATTTAGTTTTAAGTATGGCTTCATTTTTACTGTCTCATAAACTATAATGCGGTTTATTATGAGAGCATCGTAATTGTTAAAAATTATAGACTGGGAATATAATTAGCGATGTTCGAAGGAAAGGGATAAGCTGCCGTCGGACTTGTTTATTACCGCGGCTCGATCAAAGAAACGCTGCATATTACCTACATCTTTGAGAATATTACAAGCTGTTCATATAGCACCATTCCTTATTAAAAATAAATAAAAAAAAACGATATTTTTGAGACAGTTAATGTCGATTCCTTTCGGACTGAACCTAACCCTAACCCTCAATTTCCCGCGTATTTAACTGTGTTTAACAAAGTACACATATTGAAGATTTTTGCCTATATTATGTGCACTATTCATGTGCACAGAAATTTTCAAGTTCATATTCGAGCTTTGAATATTTTGTTTTAAGTACAATTCTATGCTTTAAAGTAAATATTTCATTCAGAAGACTGAGAAGAATATTTTAATGCATTATGGTTTTTTTAACGTAGCAAATGTAAATTCATTCCCGTAGACTTTCACGAAGAAAAATACTATTATGATCATATATTACTGCACTAACCCATGTAATGAAATACTTACATTTAAAACATCAGTTCAGAATACACAAAAACTCATATACTGAAGAAAAATAAAACAATTAAAGAAAAATGAAAATGCAATGCAATTTTGGCCGATTTCATTTGCACTGTTATTACTATTGTTTTTTAAACTTTTCACAATACATTCACATTTAATAAATATTTTATAGTGCCTTCTTTAAATCACATCACATTTATATTTGAATGTGTTTTCGTTTTGTTCCTTGGCCTTGTTTTTGAAACTCGACCGATTAAGATTCTTTGACAAACTGTCAGTATTTGTCGCATTTGTGCTCTAAGCCAGACTTGAATTTATTATTTATAGAAGAATTCGCGTCTGCTCAGGCTTTTTGATTTATGAAATCTCTGAAGGAGAAATTTACTGTAGATATATTTCTAGAATTTATAGCCATTACTTTGAAAGTGATTTTCTGTAATAATTTAACAAATTCTGTAGTGTAAATTTCACATAATCAAACAAGGCCTTTATCGTGTGTGTTTTATCAAGCAACATAACGTCTAAACTGTCTCTCACAGACGGCTCTGATGATGAGACTTATTCCGCGAGCCTGAGCGCAGTACTACGGCAGCGCCGCGCCAGCGTGAGGAGGTCCCGTAAGGGTCGCACCAGGAGACCATCGTCACCATTCATGAACGACGAGAGCAGGCCGCGGCGACGGTCTTCTGTTTTCACAACCAGCTCTGGGGAGTAAGGGAATTCTGAATGCGTCTCGCACAACAATTTCAGACGCTCATAATGGAATTTTACAGTTTTTTTTCTTTTTTTTTATTACTTATATGAGTGGACGAGCTCACAGCCCACCTGGTGTTAAATGGTTACCGGAGCCCATAGACATCCACAACGTAAATGCGCCACCCACCTTGAGATATAAGTTCTAAGGTTTCAAGTATAGTTACAACGGCTGCCCCACCCTTCAAACCGAATCGCATTACTGCTTCACGGCAGAAACAGGCAGGGTGGTGGTACCCACCCGCGCGGACTCACACGGGGTCCCACCACCAGTAAGAATAGAACCACAGGAATAAAGTATTAGACTATTATTAAAGAAAATTTATGTATGCGATTCCATCACTTCAACACACAATCAAATACTTTCCAATCATTTATCTGTAGTAATAATATCCTTGTGCTATCTTAATCTTTAGCAACAGAGCAAAAAAAGGAACGATATTTCTAAACTTAAGATATTTTATATTCTAGCTTCGTTAACTAACTTAGCTCTTCCACTAAGTTTATTATCCTAATTTACTATACCCAAATTGAACCATACGTTTCTGAGTAAAGAGGACGTGGAAAAACAAAGCCGATATTTTTATAAACAATTTTCAATTTCTACAACTAACATAACTTAAAAAAATATACTCTGGTGCTCTTAAAGTACTAGTTGCTAACGCGAATCTTCCGGCTGATTCATTACTACAAATAAGTTTTAACATCCAACAACTATCTTCACTACTTGCTTCTTGGCGTAAACGCACTCTATCGGTATATTAGTAAAAATGTTTTTTCTATCCCAGCACGGCCATTTCTATGGAAGAAGTGCAGCAAACGATCGTAACCCAGGAGCAGATCTTCGAGAACATTCATCTGCATAAAGAAGTGTTAGGCTCGGTGAAGCAACAACCATTGGGCATGAGACGAAAACTTAAGATTGTACACCAGGTATCCCTTATTTTACTGGCCTCCACTGTTTAAGGCCATCAGCGCAAAAGTATGACGTATAATGGAATTTATTTAAAATATAATAAATTGGGATGCAAAACCGGCCTATCCATAGTTTCACCCATAGATAACAGATAGCTTTGTAAACATTGTTTTTCCGCGTATTTTTTTTTTTGCCTACTCAAATTCAAATTCATTCAAACCTAATAGCCTACATACTAACTATGGTAAGCTTAGGCCACTTTTGCGCTGATGGCCTCATTTGTACATACTCTGAAACTTAGATTGGGACAAATCTGGAAATTTTACTAGTTCAAGCTGACTTTCTTCGTTTGTTTTAATAGTAATAATTTGAAGTCGTGCCCTCATTTTAGGCTAAAACGTACATCAAACGACACGAAGGCCAACTTCAGGAGCGTTTGGCGCAGTCCAAGTGTACAAAGGATATTTACGCCAGATTCAATATACTTATGGCTGCGGTGAGTTATAGAAATTTGAAAAACCGATATTAAAGAAATTACAGTGATATTAAGAATACAAAATTTTTGGTAGATTTAAGTCCACAAAATAATTTTTATTAACTTTGGAGTGACTTTATAGCAACGTAAAATTAAAAACAAGTGTTAGTATAGCAAGCCGCTGCCTAGCATTTTGGTAGGCAGCGGCTTGGCTCTGCCCTTGGCATTGCTGAAGTCCATGGGCGACGATAACCACTCACCATCAGGTGGGCCGTATGCTCGTCAGACTACAAAGGTAATGAAAAAAAAAAAACCTTATTATGAGCCTGCACGGTGGCATACAACCCTGCCTACTTTTGAATCAATTCTTGAATCCGTTGCGATTTGAAGGTTGAGGCAGTCGTTCTACTGTAAAAACTAAGACTTAGAACTCATGTCTCGAGGTGATTGGCAGCATTTACATTGTTGATATTATGATGTATGGCTACCACTTAACGCAAGGTGCTCACCTAAGTGTGAGTTCGTCCAACGATAACAAAAAAATACCTTTTAATATAAAGACTAAATTTGTATGCCGTTGGAACTTTTGTCTTCGGTGCCGCTAGTTCCAACTGCATATAAATTTGAGTTACGTTAAAAAACTCGCACTAAGCACATTGTAGCCTCTTCCACTATAATACTAGAGATAACTAACATAGAACAAGACCGTTCTGGCGTTTGTTTACTTTTAGAAATGGCAACAAGTGAAACGTGAAGCCGCAAATACTTCGAATCTACTCATTCCCTGGGAATTACGGATCAAAGAAATCGAATCGCATTTTGGCTCGGTGGTCGCATCATACTTCACGTTCCTCCGCTGGTTGTTTTGGGTTAACCTGGTTATCGGATTCATTCTGCTCGTCTTTGTTATAGTCCCAGAGGTAGGTTCCGTTATTTCCTTGTTTATGTCGCGAATCAAAATATCTGTTTGCTTAGTACGGTGCTTAAATTTATTACATAAATCCGGTAGCTGAATCAATATGTCAGAAAATAAAGCAATACACTACGAAATATATCTATCAAGAATTGTAAAGACACAGACGGACATATGGAATTGCAATTTTATCTGGTTTTGAATGCAAGCAAACGCTTAACACATTTAATGCCAACTACGCGGCGTCCTAAAGGATCGGGAGGCCGAACACACGACGCCGTGGCATGATCAATTTGTTAAAATTAATAGCGCGAACCCTAATCCAACATTTGATATTATAAGATCGGTGCTTTATGTTTATGACCATGTACTTCATGCAAAGTTATCGCAGCGGTACTGGTTTTATCGTAAAAAAAGTAAATTTTTACCAGAATCTAATGAGCACTATAATCTATATCTATAATTTATAGTAAATTTTACATATAGCCCAATAACAGCATTACACACCAGTTTTTTTTTGTTGCTTAGATTTGTGGACGAGCTCACAGCCCACCTGGTGTTAAGTGGTTACTGGAGCCCATAAACATCTACAACGTACCTAAATGCGCCACCCACCTTGAGATATAGTTCTAAGGTCTCAGTATAGTTACAACGGCTACTCCACCCTTCAAACCGAAACGCATTGCTGCTTCACGGTAGAAATAGGTGGGGAAGTGGTACCTACCCGTGCGGTCTAATAAGAGGTCGTACCACCAGTAAATAGTAAGGAATTACAAATTGCCATATTCTTCTAGTATCTAACAGCCGATCCTCTGCAAGACGGCGAAAGGAAGATAATAATGGAGGACGAAATACGCAATTCTACGAAGCTGTTGACCCTTTGGGAGTTCGAAGGTGTACTGAAATACTCTCCAATATTCTACGGCTATTACAGCAACCTGGAACGACCACAGTACAGGATGCCGCTCGCCTATTTCCTGACCGGCCTCGTTGTTTACATTTATAGCTTCGTGGCTATTCTTAGAAAGTGAGTTCGAAATCAACCGTTGTTGTACAAGTTTCAATAATTCTAAATCATGCGACACGACAATTCCAATGGTACCAAAAAAAAAAGCATTGAAACTAAAATTCCTGAAAAAAAGAACTGGACACAGAGGAAAATTCAATTTCGTAAAATAAATGATGATTTAATAAATTAAAAGCAGGTCGCAAAACCGTATAACCTTTGAAGGGAGTAGCGGGCAGTGTATATAAACAAAACAACTGCAATAGATCTCCAACTATTTTCTCACCTACCCATATATAATATTACAAAAAACATTCTTGCATATTTTTTTTAGAATGGCAGAAAATTCTCGAATGTCTAAATTATCAGAGAAAGAAGACGAATGCATATTCTCGTGGAAGCTATTCACTGGATGGGATTTCATGATAGGCAACACAGAGACAGCACACAATCGCATAGCATCGATCATACTCGGTTTCAAAGAAGCGTTACTTGAAGAAGCTGAGAAGAAGAAAGACTTGAGAAAGTAAGAAACATAAGCTGAGTAACAACTAGTTTTTAACTTGCTTTTACGAACTCTAGATCAGTCTCTTTCGTGAGCATAACTGTATTTATATTTGAGCACTATCACTGACACTATAACTGACTTTCAAAGAAAAATGAAAATATTTATTTATATTAAATAACTCGTGCCTGAATTCGGTTGCAGCTGGCGCATTATATCTCTTCGTGTCTTCGTCAATCTGTGTGTGATCATCCTACTTGCTGTGTCTGCATACGCGGTAGTCTATGTTGTGACGGGCTCTGATAACAACCAGAAAGTTCGCAGCTGGTGGTGCGAGAATAAGACCACGATAGTCGTCACTGGTATCTCGATTACGTTTCCGGTTTTCTTCGAGCTACTTGGTTTCTTGGAGCATTACCACCCGAGGAAGCAGCTCAGGTTACAATTGGCAAGGTTAAAACTTATCGTCATTGTCACTTATCATGATTGCACACCTAGTTAACAATATTTTAAATTATTAATTTTCCTTTCCAGAATAATGCTTCTTAATTTGCTGAATTTGTATTCTTTGATTTTTGCCTTGTTCAACAAAATCGATGGCATGAGCAAAGATCTAGACTCCTTACAGCCGAAGCTGGACATGAATGCGACAGCTTTTCCCGAAATACTACTGAATATGACTGAAGTATTAGCCACCAATATGCCTAGCGAATGCTTTGAAGAAAGAATTATATGTGGGTCATGTAATATGGAGATAACGTTTCAATTTAGTATAATGAATGACACAGATTCGCCGTTGCACATATACAAAAGTAAAACCAAAGCTACTAGACAAGAGCGTGCAATAATATTAAAAAATATATATGCAAATGAAAACGAAAGCATTAAAGATGAAACTGCCATAGACGAAGCAGATGCTGAATATTCGACAGAATCACAATTTTCAAGTTCTGCTACAGAAAACGAATATTCCATTTCAACCGACATGCAGAATGGATCCGAAACAACGGTACTCGAGAGTATATTATTACATAGAAAACAACTACAAAATTTACATAAAATAATACTATTGATACCACCGGTTGTAGTCAATAAGCCAAATCAAACTTCAGATATCGATTACAATGAATATGAGGAAGCAGGCTCGGGATCATCTTCAGTTGAGAACACGAAAACAATAACAGATACCGTGAGTACTGAATCGTTTCTCTCGTCAACAGAAAGCTTAGAAACGGAAATTACAGAAGAAATTAAAACTATAGATTTCGAAACAACTACATCGACATCTATTACAAGTGACGTGACTTATGACCCGAGTACCGATTCAGAACTAACACCAAGCACACCCGATGGAATTACCGACACAACAACAAGCTTTGATGATGTAACATCTAGTACATTAGATTTTAGTAGTAAAGATATGTCGGACATCATCACAGAGAGCGTGGAGATTGATACTACTACTCAAGTAAATAAATTAATTGACGATTTTACAACTAATATATACATATCAACTGAACCATTCACACCTACAGAAATAAGCGAAACAACAACATATAAGGATGTAGAAAACGTCTATGTATATCCTAACATTGATATGGTTTTCAACTGCACAGTCAATTGTGGAGGTCTTAACGTTACTCAAGTCACCTATATATCTAACTTTACGATAGTAGAGAGAATTTGTTACGTAACCAAATGCCAATATAGTACGCTAAACTATTTGCGAGACAATCAGATTAATATGACCATCGTAGACATGGTGTATACCGATCAAAACAATAGAAAGGTTTATAACTTGACAAAGGACACAAAAAAGAAATTATTGAAACTGTGTTGGGAAACCATGTTCGGACAAGAACTCGTTAAATTAACTATGATGGATTTAGTGAGTAATTTTACAAATTGGACTTGAATTTTTATATCAAAAAGAAAAAAGTTCAAGCTTTTATTTTACTATTTCAGGTATTTGTACTTTTGAGTGCTTTATTTATGGACTTCTTTCGGGCACTGTTTGTGCGATATATGAACCGCTGCTGGTGCTGGGATTTGGAGAAAAAGTTTCCGGAGTATGGGGACTTTAAGATCGCCGAGAATATTTTACATTTAATAAATAATCAAGGAATGGTTTGGATGGGAATGTTCTTTTCACCCGGCCTTGTGGTTCTGAACGTAGTAAAATTGATGATCATGATGTACTTACGTTCGTGGGCTGTTATGACCTGCAATGTGCCCCACGAAGTCGTATTCAGAGTTTCAAAGAGCAACAATTTCTATTTGGCCTTACTGTTAACCATGTTGTTTCTTTGTGTTCTACCAGTCGGCTACGCTATTGTTTGGGTGAAACCGTCTTGGCATTGTGGGCCTTTCTCTGAATATGACAGGATTTCCGAAATCCTAACCAAAAAAATAAAAAAGAAGCTACCAACTACATTAAACTTTGCATTACAATATATAGCATCTCCAGCAATCGTCATACCTTTATTGGTTCTCTTAATTCTTATAATTTATTACTTGATATCGCTAACTAACTCTTTGAGGGAAGCCAATAACGATTTAAAGGCAAGTTCATATCTATTCACATAAATTTGTAAGTTTTTAACGGCTTTTATTAAGTTAAAAAATTTACAGATTCAACTTCGCCGTGAACGAACCGAGGAGCGAAGAAAAATGTTCCAACTGGCTGATACAAGAAGACGCGCTGGGTCATCAGCAATGGATAATACTCCTTTTGCTCGATGGAAGAAGGCTCTACCGTCTTTGCCATTTAGCAAATCCATCGATTCCGACGATCGTAAAGCATCAACTGGCGATGAGATTATTCTGCCTTCGAAGAAAAAGAAAGGTATAAATATATACTTTTTTATTAATTTTTATTTTGTTTTATTTTTATATTTTCTAATAAAATGTAATTTCCAGGTGGAATCTTTGCGAAAATCGTTGGAATGGCTTTAGATAAAAAAGTTGACGTAGAAGCAGTATCTGAAGTAGATAATATGTCGCCATCTCTTAACAATGCTGATGACGAAACCGATACAGACTTTCATGAAACATTACCCAAAGAAGTATTGAAAGCAAAAGATATAACCATAGTTGCACACTATGACAAAGCAAAAGAAAATATTGTACTAGCTAAGCGAAATGATAGTGAAGAAAACAAAACAACTGTTAACGGGAAATCGTTGAAAGTAAAAAATGATAATAAAACAGAAAAGAAAGCCGTATTCGAAAAGCAAATGAAAGATCCGCAGTACGGAGATATTGAAAAACCTGAGGAAGGTAAAGCTCCAGAACCGTATCCTAAACAAACTGTTGCACAACGCGAGGATATGAGGATTTGTAAGAAACAAACATCAGAATCGAGTACGAAGTCAAAGCAATCTGATTCCATTGGATCTGTAATACCAGTCATAACCATAAGTACTACTGAAAGTGATGAAGAAACACTATCTAAAATAGAAAAAATTGAGGAAAAAGAAAAGGACAAAAAAACGAACAAAAACAACACCGACTTGAAGTCACTCAGAAGGCAGAGTAGCGTTGATAGTATACAAGAAATTAAGCTCCCAAAAGAGAAAAAACAAGAAGAAGGACATAAATTTCAGTACTCGCTGTGAATGTAGAACTTACGTTAACTAAGTTACAAATATTATACTTTATTTAATCACAAATGCTCTTTTATTTTATGAATAAATATAGTAAAATATACATCGATATATAGAGAGAAAAATAAGAAGAGTTCTTAGTTGCCTTATTACAATATCTAGTAGAGCAAACGCAAACGTAATATCTGACGAATAACGATATCGCACGACTGAATGGCGTCAAAACGGCATGGGGACTCCCCACACACCCATCAGTTTGTGTGTGCAGTACATATTCTAAACTCATAAGTCTCTTTGAGGCATAACTTTTCCCCATCATGGGGGGCATAGTTCGACATCCTCGTTCATTATAATCGTGTCCAACATCCAAATATCTCTTGAAACATCCCCCAATAAACGTGCTACCATTACATTTGGTCCTATATTTTCTCATTAAATACTTTTCGCTCTCATCGCCTCTTTCAAAGATGTCGAAGCACGTTTCGTTACTTAGTCCAGTGTTGTTCATACCGCAAGTATAACATCTGGCAGTACTATTTGCTCTTCTAAGAAAAGCGACAACGGGTAACGCGCGTGCCTCGAATTTTGCACGACTTATTTCGGTATTTCTGTTAATAGATTCTGGTATCGTTATTTTCAAAAAATTCATGTCCGCTTCTGGCAGCGTGGTTGTTTTTGATAATTCATAGTCCGTATGAGCTATTTTAAAGTTTCTTTGTTTGAAATGATAAAAATCGTTTACCGTTTCTAGTCCTGTTTTGTGGCCGTAATCAGGATTTTCGAAAATTTCATGTATTTTGTAACTGCGTGTCGGAAAATACGATCGCAATGTTTTTTTTTTATTTAAAAAATGTGCAGATACTGATTCGCTTGACGCTATAGTCGGTCGATATACTAATATTTCACTATTATTATCGTCATTTATTCTAACTTCCGAAACGAATGACGAATGTATCCCTTGCGTCGGTCGAAATAATAATATTTCTTTCGTCAAACCACTCTCAATACCATTCGAGTACGTATAATTTCTATATCTGCTTTGAAAATCTGAAGGCAACAAAATTTTACGTGGCGATTGATCCCAAAATTGATTTAAATTGTAATGCTCGAAGAATTTTGTTTGTGGCTTTTCTGCTTCGGTATTAGACCATTCAGGAGAAATACTGGTAAATATTTGATCGTAAGCCGAGTTCTTCCGAAATTCTTCGTCTTCGTAATCCTGAGAAAGAACTTCACTTGTTGCAGAATAATGATGAGGGTTCTTCATCCGCGACAGTAAAGATAAATGAGAAATCTGAACGTTATAACTAATTTGTATAAGTACAAATAATATAAGTTTCATTTTGTTCCGGAAAAAAGTTAATAATTGAATATTATTTGATTAAAATATTTATATTAACAAAAGAAAACAAACCTGTAAACATGTCAAAGACCAAATTTCAAATAGACCATAGATAATTAATCTAATTATTATCGAGAATCAAAAAACAATTGGTTTCTTCATAATAAACTTTTTACCTCAACAATTTCTATTACGGTCGTAATATTTCAATCGGACTCAGCGCGAACTTAAAATGAAACGACTGAACTCGCCCTGGTTGATAAAGATCCACCCTTTGCGCGTCAAGCTACGAGCGAACTTTGGTTACATGGATAGCCGAGCGCCCGCGCATTCGGCGCGAGGACGCCACGCGGGCAACATGGCGCCCGTTCCTGCGCTCCTGTTTCTATTATTCTTCCTCCACGTGACTCGATCCGAGATCCTGACCCCGCCGTACTTTAATTTGGCTCAGGGGAAGAAGATTGTGGCCACGGCGACATGCGGAGACGAGGGACCCGAGTGGTACTGCAAGTTGGTCGGCGTTATTGCAGATCACGACGAGCGCGTGATACAGGGACAGGTAATGTTTACGTTTTTGTCTCCTTGTTTGTGTGTGCGGATGAATGGATGAGTAGATTTTGTTAACACAGATCAGAGACAAATGCTATTCGCTCGAATTATTTGGAAGAATTGAATGTTAAAGACTCCTTTAAAATATATTTACTTTTAAAGTATGCAACTAAATATTTTATTTTATCGCTATTTCATTTCAAGTAATTATCGTTTTTCCACCTTTTAATAATACTTATTATATTATGTTGTTAATTTAAATCTGTACTATTAATGTTTAAAAAATATAAATCGATGGAGACATGTAGGCTGGCTTTCTCTTGTTTAGCAGAAACGAAATGTCAAAAGTTCGTTCCCCGACGAGGATAAAGCTTGTTTTCGACTTTATACCTGTTCTTAACCTTTTTAGTTTCTATTAGCTGGATCATTAATATGCGTCTTTATTCGTATTGATCTATATGGTTGGAAGGGATCCAGCTGTTCTGCCGTACCCTAGAGGCGATAACCACTTACAGCCCACTGTTCCTTGGCATGGTCGTAGTGTATTTATGTATTATAATTTAACAATTTGTAATATTATTTCAATCAAAAATATATTAATTGAATTTAAATTGTTGACCCTTCGGATATTGGCCTTTAGTAGGTACATGCGTATCAATAAATTCTAACAATTTAATGTAAGCAATTGTCGCGTGCAATGGTATGCGAGTGTCTTATTACATTACGAAGAATTTTAAAATTTAATGCTAGTTAAATTTTTATTAAATATTTTGTGTCTATTTTAAGATATTTTATTTTGCGAAATCATAAATTTTGTAACAACACTATCAACACATACATAAATTTTTAGGACATTGAATTAAATGCTAATCCTTAATTCATTTTACGTTTATAATACTCCTTTTATTGAATGCTATTATATAGTAGTGAATAGTAATTACTAAGCCATCCGTAAAACTTTTTTTATGAGTGAGGGATTACTGGTGGCACGAATGCCTCTCCAGTTTCACCAGGATAGGTGGGCTAGCAGAGGCTCAGCCAGGAGTTGTGGGATTTGCTAACAGCTGTCCGAGCGCCTCCAAAGGAGACCTAACAACTGAAGGGCAGCTGCTTCGCGAATGAATCTACTACCGGATCGCGACCCGCTAAGAAGATACCGGCGAGAAACTCAGCGGGCTGATGCTTAGGTTAGGTTGCACGTCGAACTCTTTGCCGAGTTCGACGAGTAAGCCGTAAAACTATTGTGATGTCATGTACATACAAATATGTCGGTAGCGTACTGTGAGTCCGAACTGGTAGGTACCACAACCCCTCGTAATGCTCGCCGACCCTCGCCGCGAAGCAGTCCGTTGTTGCAATTTGAAGAATTCCACATCCATTATAGAAAGCAATTAAGACAAAAGCCTCGTGTCTATATAGTTGGTGTTGTTAAGTCCACGGAACTCGGCAAGTACCATTTTTTTCCCTACCTATCCGCTGGTAGCCTAAGGGGCTATTCCAGATATGCGCAGACGGATAGATGAGCTAAGGGACTCATCCTGAGAAAATTTGCTAACTAACACTAACCCTAGCAAGAACAGGCTTCGAACCTACCACCCGATCAGAATAGTAATCCACTGAGAAGATCCGGCGAAAAACTCAGTGGGCTCGGTAACCACGTAATACCAATTTCATTCATGACAACAATCAAAGTATAAACTACTAGCTGTACCCATCCGCTTCGCTGGGCATTTAAAATTACCATCATTATTACTCACCCCCACAAAGATTCTCATCATTAACGCCCCCGCAACTGGTGTAGGTAGTCCAACATTCACATAAATATTAGCCTATCCATTAAGCACAAGCAAGTTTTCTACGTGGATACCAAGTTTTAAGTCAATCGGATGCATGGTTCAGTAGTTATAACGGAACATCCGTAAAAATCACTATAGATTTATATATTAAGTATAAATATGACTGTATCTAGTATATTTGGAAAAAAAGGATAAAAAGATTATTATCGGCGATGATCTTAAAAAGATCAACTAACTGTTTTGCTACGCAAGTTTAGATAAACATAACACATAGTGGCACTTTCCTAATTCTAACCTGAAACCGTTTATGAGAACGCAGTTCACTGATGAATCATGAGCTTAATACTTAGGTGAGTCCGCGCGGATAGGTACCACCGCCCTGCCTACTTCTGCCGTGAAGCAGTAATGAGTTTCAGTTTGAAGGGTGGGGCAGCCGTTGTAACTATACTGAGACCTTAGAACTTGTATCTCAAGGTGGGTGGCGCGTCTACGTTGTAGATGTCTATGGGCTCCAGCAACCACAACACCAGGTGGGCTGTGAGCTCGTCCAACCACCTAAGCAATAAAAAAAAAATAGTACATGATCGTCATAGCAGAACGATATTTCTCACGGAATTTTATCGAAGGCTTTCTGTCGAACATATTTCAATAGCCCTATCCCCCGTGAGTTTGATTACATCACAAAAATATATCTATACGTGAGATACGATAGTACAAAGCTTATAGTCTATAGAAGTCAAAAAAAAAAACTACTTTGCTATAAAACAAAAAAAATACTAAAATGCTGATACCTACTAAACATATAATCGTAATATTAGTTCGAAACAAAATCGATTAATTGCTCAAAATTGTAGCATTAAAAGACTGAGTAAAATTTTGGAAGAATATAAACATCAAGATTTACTAATGTATCCGTTCTCACGTCCAAAATCGCAGGTTCGAGAATACTTATATGAGACTGTCGTATTTTATATGAATTGACTTCTAGAGACTGAAGACATGCCTCTGCCTATTCGTGATAGGGAAGATCGAGGTAAAGAGACCTCGCAGGCGCAGTCCGACAAGGTGGTTTGATCAAATCCGCACCACACTAAAGATCCCATTCCACGAAGTCCTTCATGCGGCCAATGATCGGAGGCGCTGGAGGGACATTACTAGAAGTAAAGTCCTGTTAAAATATGATGGTCACGACCCTCAGCAGTAAGAAGACGACGCGAGGAGTGAGACATACCTAATGCCTGACAGCGAGACTGCAAACAAGCAAGAAAAGTTCACAAAATTCGTATTATCATTAAAAATAATTACAAATCGTAAATTGCTTCAGAGGCATCGAACCCGTTATCGGCGGGATGGTGAG